CTTGAAGTCGGGGACCCACTGATAGGCTGCTTGAAAAGGACAACCAGCTAGCTAGTGATGCTGTTGCGCTGCGTATCATCGATGCTTGTTGGTTCGTATTGCATACTGAGCCACGTGCCAGCAACTTTGTTCATTTGCACGTTTGTAGATGCTCAGACTTGTGTTTCAAGTCTATGAGTTTGCATGAGCAGCTGGCATGAATCGGAAGAGCATGTTTTCCCCACAGGTGCATCATCGATCGCAAGATCTGGAACCCTTGCTTCATTCTTTGTGGTCGATGTTTGACGGGCTACTGGCAAGTGAGGTTGGGCCATCAAACTGCTACCCTTAACATGCCTGTGTGTGGGCTCCACGTGGTTTCCCTTCAACCCAGCCCCACAAAGGTTCCCAAAAACAACCAGCTGCGTCCCTTGTGCGTCGCTTTTTCCGTCGAGGCAGCATCGTGATCACGGCGGTGTGCGTACGCCAGCAGCGGGACCTGGAGGAACTCGAACGGAGGAGCTTCGATAACCAGCTGCTAAACACCCGAGGCCGACGAGTTGCCATTGGCTTCACTCGCCAAACCCAACGATACATTTGCGCCTTTCGAGGCTTCGCAAGTACGGCGAGTTCTTGATGTTGTCCCTGAAGCGGAAAAAGAAAAACCAATGCCGAAGTCAGCTGTACCCTCGTGGGATTTCCATCCACTCGCTTGGACCACTGAAAGTGGTGCTTTGAATTGCGTGAGTGCGCTAGTTTCGGTTGTGTTCCGATGATTGGCAGTGCCATCTTTCCAAGGTGAACAAGCATCGGCAAAAAGCGTTGGACCAATTTGCCCGAAAGAAGTGGTGCGTGTTTCTCAGGGAATTCTGTTTTTCAGGTTCGAACGAGCATAGGATTGGATGGCCCTATCCTGGTCGCCAGGCTTAGTGCTGCGCACCGCGGAGCAGATCTCAAGGCAGAGCACCCACCAAGAGCCGGACACCCAGCTGGCGATTTGGCTCTAGACACGTTTATGTGTTTGGTTGAAATATGGGTGTCCAATTGAAACCTCAAGAAATGAACACAACTTCACTTTAACTTGTTGGGAAAACAAGTTGGTTTTGCAATTGAACCCAGACAATGTGAAATCAACTTTTTTGCAGAGGGTCTCGCAAGCAGTCAAGAACGAAAGCGCGCAAAAGATGAGAAGTTGTTTGCACCTGTTGAGAAACGCAATCCCCAGAAATTCCGCGGGTCAGTTTCTTGAGGATACCGAGGTTTTGAAATGGGGATGAACCCCAAAGAAGGGTCCCCTGTGTGTGTTTTGCTTTTTGAGGATGCCTTGGGGAAACCCTGATAATGAAATGAAGCCCATTAGAATGGCGGCAGAATCCCCAAATTAACGAGATGTCCTTGTGGTCAATATTCATAGCATGACGTAGTGACAAAGATGACATGGAGCATATTCCCCAAATACCCAGGAGAACATGGAGGTTGCTGTCTAAACTCTGGCTGATTCAACCCCCACCCTGCAAGCAATGCGTGTCAGTGAACTGAATGTCGGTGCCCTCAATGTCGCATGGAATGCAGGACAAGCTGAAATGGGCATCTCAATGTCGCATGGAATGCAGGACATGCTGAAATTGGGCATCACTTGGATGAATACGCATGTCCTTTGCACCGGTGGGGGGGGGGGGTGATGGCAACTTGCCAATGTTGCAGTTGAACAATGATTGCCATCTTTTCCTAAGCAAGAGCAATTGGCTAGCTTTATCCATTGAACAACTTGGGCTCTGGTGTTTCATTTCCGGTCAGCACTTGGTTAAGGGCACATTTCAGCAAGAAGACGTGCCTTTGCCAAACGAAGTAGGTGCTTCTTCCCCTCGCACCGAGGTTCATGTCTCACCTAGTGATGCTGGAAAAGTCTCGCCGCCGAGAATCCATCAACTTTTGAACGAAAAAGCAGCGCGCCGCAACACGGAAGCTGACCAGAAGGCAAACGTTTTCAGCTTTTGCAGGTGGTGTGAACCTTGCAGCACTTGCAGCACCCTGGGTAGAGCCACAGCTGCCCGAAATGGGACCGCTTTATTCTGGCAGCATAAGCTCTTTAAGCGCCACTGCTGTTGAATTTGAGCCCGAAGACTTTGAACTTTTTTGTACCAGATCTTCTCGCTATCACATACAGCTGCCATGGAGAGAGAACTGTTCTCAAACCAGACTGGCAACTTGGAGTTTACACCCTGTCTATTTGTGGGGGTTTCCAGTAGATATTAGAGAAGCCCACTCTTTGGGGAGGCGTCTCCTTGCCTCCAGCTCCTTGCCTCCAGAGACTTGAAAGAGACGTGTGCCAACAGGGTAGTCTATATCCTACCACGCTGATTTTAGGGATATATATGATAATATATATATATATATGTAAAAGGAAAAAATGGAATACTCTTCGAAAATTATGTGCAGATGGGGCCGCCAGGCGGAGTCTGAGGTCGTGCGACAAGCCCCTCAGTCGACCACTTAACATTTGGGGGTAATCTGCAGGCCACTCTTGCAATTAGGAGACCAACAGACAATCAGTTGTACTTGCATACGGGCCGTGAATAGCACAAACTACTCCAAACGCCTGTGTAGGTTGCAATCGTGTAGAGCCACAGCTGCCAGTGAATGACGTAAACGCAATCCAGTGCTGAATTATTCTCGACCTAGCCTCAATCCGCTCTACAACATGATAGATGGGCAACGACCTCCAGTGAGTATTTGCTTATTTGCATCTGGCAGAGGGTTGCAATCCATGAAAACCTCTGAAGTTTCTTGTTAGATACGAAGGTCCAATGGAAGATAGGACAGAGACACACACCAACAATGGCGCATGCTGCCACACAAGGCCACCACATTCGCCTGGTGTGGCTCGAACCAGGCAAAACACACGGCAACTCGCCAGTCATGCGTCATGCTGGAGTCTTTCATTTGCTTTGTGGTTGTTCAGTATGTCTCTGATTCCTTCTGCGCGTGCGAAACGTTCTGGTACACTACAGTCGAAAGGTGGTCTAGTGTCAAGTATAAGTCACATAGAATAAGCTTGGTATGTATTGTAACAAATTATCAGAAATACAGCTGAGCATGTGTTACATGGCACATGTGTATATATATATATATATATATATATATCGACACGCAAAAACCCGCGGAACCGGCTGATCCCCGGTGCATGAGCGATCCAGGGTGCAAGTTCAAACAAGTTTATCACAGTCGTACCACGAGAAGCCCCAGTAGATCGAGTCAAAATTTGTTTCAATTCTCGCAAGGACGCCCATGGAAAGAGTGAAAGGCAAGAGAACTCAGCGTAAAGGGCAACATGACAGATATGGCGCATTTCATGTGAGTAACTTGCAAATGTGTTGTTCCTTCCTTGAGAGTATAGTGCTGGAGCACTTTGCTTCAAGCACCATTACCATGATGTCCCATCTCTATGTGTTTTTGCAGAGCAAGGGAAGATCTCGTGTCCTTTGGCAACCTCCCAAGCTGTTGCGAGGAGACCGCTGGACGTGATTGATTCGCAAGGCGTGATTCGCCTTTTCAGGTTTTGGATTGGAAGTATGCGCAAGGAGGCAAACAAGATGCTATCACCTTTGTTTGCGGTCTATCCAATGCACGTTAGACATTGTCTCTAACATGTATGCCAACCCATCAAATGTTGCCCCTCGTCACCTATTGTGAACGTCATATAGAGCATGGACAGGCAGCTTGACGTGCAATGACATGCGCAGCTGGATAGCATTGCCCAGATGTTGCCTCTTGAAATTGACCCCGTTCACAGGAGCAAGAGAGAACAGTGCCAAATAACAAACTACAGGCAAGGTAGCACATTGAATCTGTTCAAGATGTGCAGGCAACATAACGAGAGCAAAAAAGCGTGTCGGGAAGAAAAATGAATAGTAAACATCCAACACAGACTCTTTTGCGAGGGTGACATTGGCGTCAAAGACATTTTTTTGTGAGTATTCACAGAAGGAGCTCTTACGTCACGGAATCGTTCTTGGTAGTTGTGCCTTTCAACCGGAACGCCAAGACAATGAATGGCATACAACCCTCACATCTTGAAAGCCCTCCATAGTTCCCTGCCTGGCATTGATGCATCGTTCAACACACGATTCTTGAGCAGCTTATTGTTTGGAGTTGCATTGGTGGCAAGAAAGTGGCGTGGCGGCGTATTCGGCACATGTTTGGGGCTTAGGTTTCAACGGGAAGGAGATTGTCATTGCCTGGCAGGTTGAGATTCTTCACCCGCCCAAGGCGTGAGTGGGGGAATGTACGATGACTAATTCGAGATGCAGGCCCAACTGACTCGCGAGCTTGGAGCCGCGCGCCATAGACACTAACGATCGGGGTGTTCCTTTCTACGCATTAAAGTTCGAGTGTGCGACGTGGACATCTTGGCCATTGGCAGGTTGCCCAGTTGCAACCAATGTGCGAACATGCCAGGGTCATAGGGTTGATTTGGCCTGCGTCACTGTGGACTGGTTCCCACTAGCTTCAAACCCGAATCATTGGGCAGGCATTCTTTAGGCCCGTCTGACAACTCGCAAACCATAGCCAGAAAAGATGTGTGTAAAGCCATTTGGTTCCCCATTTATCTCCAAGTTTGGGGCTTCTCTTGTTCACTTGCAGTTCCATTCGATATTGAATAAGCGTTGCATGTAAGTGTGGCTTGCTCATTTGAGTTCCATCAGATGTTCGCATTCGCCGCATTTGTGTTGCCTCAGATGTTGGTCGAAGTCTGTGTGAAGCCCACCAGTCTACACACCATGGAGCCGGTATCCGTTTAGAAGATGGCTCGACTGCCAGCCCAGCACGCCGTTGACATGGCCATGATGAGTTGCTGTGTTCCATAGTGCCCTTTGAAGATGTTGTGCTTTAAGGGAAGCCTGCGAATCGATCGATATCCACAAAGGACAAGCAATGAGCACTGGAAGGCATTAAAGCGGTTCCGAAGAGCTCGCAATGCCGTGTCATGTTGGTCCATGTGTATCCCGTATTTTCAGCCT